CTGCTGGAGGCGGGGGGGGGTGGGACGGGGGACCGAGCAGCACCTGGGAGTAGCCCCGCTGGGAAGCTCTGCGTACTGGCCGGGGGCGGCGCCAGGACTGTCTAGTGGGTGCAGGTGAAAGTATGGTGCAGGCTGCCACCGGCAGGAGTGCATGGGGTTCGGCCCCATGTGGAAAACCATGGGGACAGCCACAGGCCAGATGGTGCATGGGAGGGAGGAAGGAAGGGACGGAGGGTGGAACGCTCTTGCACCACGCTGCCCTGGCGACCACTGGTGCACGTGCCCCCTTCCCCTGTCCAGCTCCTGGGACCTGGTGTGTGGGCAGCTCCTCCCCCCCGCCAATACAAGAGTTAGACTTTATTTTGTGCTATTATGCAATTGCCTGTATATATGCTACTTGAAAAGTAAATCAGGACAAAGTTTATTTTTTTAAATAAAATTAAATTGTTATAATAGATTTTTGAGTTTTAGCATATGATTTGTTTTTTATCTATAATTAAATGCCACTACAGCCCATATAACTGCCCAGCCCTGCATTAAAGACTCACAGAAAAGTCAAACTTTTCTGGTTCCATAACAGGAAGATACTGGTAGCCTCTCAGGGAATTAACAGAAAAAGTAAATTTAAAAAAAAAAAAGCTACAATAATCCTATACCCAAAATAACAGTACTATCTGCAGCTATCAACAAATAACAAGAAGGCTGAATAACAAGTGAAAGTCTGAATTTCTCATGAAAGAATTTAAAAAGAAGGAGGTTGGTATGTTTTGCCCTCTACAACTTCCGTAAGAGACTTGAATATACAGTCCCAAAAGAATCTGAACATAAATGCACACAATAACATATATATCAGTGAAATGTATCTGGACAGACAGTCAAAGAACATTGCAACTGTATGTAGTAGCAATAGAAATAAGAATACCACATACAATCAAAATCCCTAAAAGCAACAAAAACTGAAAACAGCAATGTACATGTTCATGCAAGACACTGATGAATTGTGCTTCCCTTGCCAAGATCTAATTTGTAAGCAATTCTCAAATAATGAAGCAACTCTGGAGTGCCAAGTTTAAGTCTATTCTTGATTCCAAACTTATATATTTTAAATAAAACTCCCTGACTTTAAACAACTCTTAAAATGTAAAAAAATATGATACAAGCATGTTTAGTAAAAGAATTTACTACTTACATTTCAAGAAATTTTTTCCGATCATCTTGACTAATTGATGGTCTTGTGCCTGCAAGTGCAGTCATCAGTTGGGATTGAGTAATGATTAAAATACCCTTGTTTTGCACTGACTGACTGGGGGTAATATCCTCCTTGAAAATAAAAATACAGAAGTGAATGGGAAAATGCTTATTACATGTAACAAGACACAGAGCAATACAGCAAAAAGCTTGGAGCTGTTTCCAAAATACAATATTCTGATAGTAGCTATTTCAGGAGTAATGTATTAAGCTATAAGTAGGGATCTGTTCAATTCATGATTTTGCAATTTTCAGGGAAACTAGGAAAAAAGGCAGTTTCTGCAATCACCATGAGAACTGGAATTCCTTGTGATTTTGTATGGAATCATCCAAAAAAAAAAACCCCAACAAAAAAACACTTATTAAAAAGAAAATGTTGGCCTGGCCTTGCAGCCTACCAGGGTGGTGGGAGAGCAGTCAAGATGCCAACTCCACCCTCCTTCTCTACTAATTGGCCTTTTGTGTGGCCCTGCCCCCCTCTGCCAATCAGTGGTGAGGGGCAGGGCCCCATGAATGGCAACACTCTCCACAAATCAGCGGTGAAGGACAGGGCCACCAGGACCCCTTGACTACTCAGTGGTGGGGATCTTGCCACAAAAATGGCACCAGGCACCACATGCAGTCTGCAATTTTTTCTTCCCCTCTGCACGCTTTAAGTAGATCCCTAGCTATAAGACAAACAACATCTCTGAACATTTTATCAGACTTTGCATCTTCTGTGTTTACACATAAACTTCGCTATGTTTTAGTGTAATACTGCAGAAATAATTTGTAAACAGACAAACAAAAAGTGAAAACTAAATGGGGAAAAAACAGGATTGAATTTTATGGAGAAACTGTCCTACTCCATTTTTGCTCTGGTGGTTGGCCTTGATAGCATTGATTTCAGTCCGGAGGTGTTCCATTTGCTCTTGATTAAGTTCCTGGTAACCTTCTTGTGAAGCTGTTCTCAGCACTGAGGGTTGTGATGATACTACATCTCTCAGACTCATGCCACTTAAATCATGGGTTGCGGAATTTGGTCCAGACAAACACAGAGAGCTCTATAGTGACAGGAGGAAAAAAAAGATTAATTTATTCAAAATTGCTACTTCAGGAGTTAAGAATTTTATGTGACTGTTAGGTTGGAGTGTTGTAGCCACGATGTTTCAGAAGTCAAGCTTCTTTCTCAACTACACTAGGGGTCCAATTAAAAGGTATCATAAAAATATCCTGCCCTCTTTTCATGTAAGCACACTTTTCATCTACTTCAGTTTCCTCTTATCACCAAAAAAAGTTCATTCTTTCTAAAGTATGTAATGTATGTCATGTATAGTGACTTGCCAGAAAATAAAGCTTTAGGCTAATGAAACAAGATATTTGGGAGACAGAAATGCTTAAAAAACTAGATTTTTCCAAAAGTGAAATACGGTTACCTTCCTTTTTATGAACTTTCCTATCTTTGAAGAGTTTAATCTTTAGTCCATATTTGTAATATTTATACATTTATATCTAAGGTCTATATGCATTTACTGTATTTACTGAATCTGAGATGACTCTGAATTTTTAAGATGAACCCCCAATAATTATACACTAGAAATAGAAAAATTATTTTAAAAATTTTCCATGTCTAAAATCTGATCTTTGGAGGGTCATCTTAAATTCATCCTGTCCCCCACCTCCCCAGTACAGCAAGGCAAGCAGCCACAGGGGGCCAGGTGGTCGTGGAGTAGGCACCAGGGGAGTCAAATGGTTTGCCCACTGACCCCCGCACTTGTCTCCCTGGATGCCTGCTTGCTCCTCAGTGTCTGTCCCACCCCATCTATGCGCGCATCCCCAGGTACCTGTCCCACAACTCCTGCCTGTCCCCTGGGCTGGGGCTGAAGGCAGCATGTGCTGCATGATCCCTGCCCCCAGCTGGAGTTGGGTATGCAATGACAAGGTAAACAGGGAAGAGAGGGAGGGGGAGGGAGGTGAGAGGAGAAAGCAGAAGCTTTGTGGGTATTTCAACCTTGGAGTTGTGGTTGGAACTGCAGCTGCTCCCCCTCTCCCCCACACCTGTACTTGAATCTAAAATGAGGGGCTGTCTCCCTCATGATGGCAGGGAGGGCTCACCTTAGAGTCAAGTAAATACGGTATACCTAAGTTATGCATTCCAGAACAAATGGCTACCACATAGGAAAGATACAAATGTTACCAAACTAAACTAAACTAAAATTAATGTTCTAAATATACATATAAACTTGCTCAGTCAGAATACTTCAGTTATTACAAAATGAAAGACAGAAAACTCTGAATTAGCATTAACAACCACATGAAACTTCAAGCATATAGATTCTACAACCTTAACTCTGATTCCGTATCAATACTATCTTTCAGCTAATCATCTATAGTATTTATTCATGCTAAAACCATGCTAGCAACTATCATGCTTCCTTGTGATTGCAGATAACATGTTTTTAACCATGTATCCAACAGGAACAACCAGACATACAATTTTGACAAAAATCAAAGATCACACCACACACATGTACAGGGAACATAGAGAGAAAAGTAAAATAACTAAAAGAATAATCAGAACATTTAAAAAAAAATTGTTTTGGGGAAAAATATTTGAATTGCCTCATCTTAAACTTCTTTCAAGACCTGGAATAGACTCATTTAACTGGAACAAGCCTCTTACAGGTCATATAAGTCTATTCTGTCAGTGTCATATAATGTTATTATCCCTAAACCACCCTTAAGAGACAGCTGTCAAGTCCAACTGAGTACCTCAAGCGATGACATTTCCACAGCTGCCTCCGGCAGCTTGTTCTACGCTCTGGCTCATCCTCTATTTGTGAAGCCTTATTTACTATCTGACGCTAATTTTTCCTAAGGCAACTTTACGTTGCTCCTTGCATTTTTACTACAAATAGCATAATACTTGCTCAACTGAATTTAAAAGGGCATTGTAAACTGAACAAAATTATTTTTCAGCAGACTTATTTGAAGATGTATATTCACTGTGGATAAAACAATTAGAAAAAAATCTGAATAGTATTCGGCAAGCTTATCATAAGACTGTATTAGAACTTCTATTCACAGAATTAAAATGATCTCCCAAATGACCTTGAATGGAAGCAAAGACTGCCAAATAACCATGTGTTTTCTAAGAACATAGTTAAATATGAGTTAGTAAGTAGTTACTATTTAAATCTTAATGTCACCAAAATGACATAATAGTATTTTCCATATTGGTAGTGGTATTTTTACCCCTAAATAGTTAGGGACTCTTCCTGACAACAAGCAGCCATATCTCAACAGGCAAATATCATTTCAAACACAAGTTTGCCTCCAAAGTAATTAATATTTACTGTACATATTACTTCCCCTAACAGAAATTTCACAAGTTTCCCACTACTTAGTGCTGATTTGAAGATGGAACTTTATCAGGTTTTACAATTGATTTTCCCCCCACTTCCCTGTAGTTTGTATCTAAACCACTTTTTCTATTTGATATCCTGTTCTCTGCATGTCCTTTCACAGCATCTAATAAAAGTGACCTGTGGCTCACAAAAACTTATACATCTCTGATTCAGTTAGTCTGCAACGTGCAACTCTACCCTGCCTTCTGTCTGACTCCAGATTAACATGACTACCTACTTCAATCTGTTTTTCCTATAAATTCACACATTGTTGTCTTATTTTCGTCACTGTGCTTAGCTTTAGGATGTGGTATCACTATTTAAAAGAAAAATAAGTTTGCTTTTTAATCTGTTTACTGCATTGCATCACATCCCCCAGCCTACTTTTCTTGTTCTTTATGATTTCTGTTCTTTAGCTTTTCACTCTGAATTGAACCTGTGCATGTATGACACGTGAGTTATAATAATGTGTTCAAGCCACTGGTCCAAGATCAAACCCTGAATGATAATTACTGACATTTTCTTGTGGTAAATCCTGTGTGTAATACAAATGAAGGTATAAAGCAAAACAGGTTCTTTGACTGGGTGATACCAAAACAAGAGGAGTTCTACTTCTTAAGACTGACTTCAGTTAAGATTTTCTTACAGCTAGGAACACAGTCACTGGTAATAACCCACCCAGCCATAAATATGCACTGACAGAACAGTCTTCTGGAAACAAAAGTACTACAAAGGATCAGGACAGCACATTTATGCTAGTGCCAGGCAGTATTATGTTGGTATTAACAAGGAGCAGATACACTTTATATGGCCCTAAGCAGGTATAAAATACTAGAATCTGGGATAGAGTTATACAAGGAAAAATTAGGATTATGTACTGTGGCCACTGTCCTAGGGTATCTGTTTGCTAGGTGCAAAGAGTCGATACCAGGTTGCCAGCCACCTTGTGGTAAGGTGCTATAATAACAACTACTGCAACAACTACCCTAGAACGGTGGTTTATAACTTTTTTTCATTTGTGGACTGCTAAACAATTTTGAATGGAGGTGCAAACTCCCTTGAATTGTAAGTGTGGGTATTCAGATACTTTTGATTGATCATGGTCATCTTTTGCAGACCCCTTAGACCAATGGTTCTCAACCTTTTTTGTACCAGGACCCAATTGTAAACATTGGTGGCCAGTCCTGACCCAGTAAACAGTTTAAGTAGCTAGCCTCCTGCCAGCCTCCAAGTGGAAACCTGTGGTTTCCTACATTTTTCTCCTTTAAAGGAGAAAATCCTTGATTTTCCAAGTTTTTCCATGATTGTTTATGACCCTTTCATATATTCTTGTGGCTCACTTTTGGGTTGTGACCTATGGGTTGAGAAACACTACCTTAGACCTAGTCTGTGGAACCCCAGGGTTCATGGACCACAGGTTAAAAACCATTGCACTAGGAGATTTAGGCCAGGTTCAGATGTTCAGTTTCTACTGGGAGAATTGCCGCTCTCCCAGTGGAAAATAAAAGTGTGGAAACATTCAAGCTTTTTCTCCCAGAGCAAAAATGGCCACCCCAGGAGAAAAATAAATCAGGAACAACCAGAGTTAAACTGCTCCAAGGAGAGTTTCTCTTGGGAGACTGAATGTTTACATACTTTCCTGTGGCTGAACTCCTCCTGGGGCCCAGGAAGAGTGGAGCTGGACTGGGGTCACCTCAGTCTGTAGAAGGCAAAGGGAGCAGCTGCTCCCCACATTCTGTAGATGAGAAGGAGCAGCCACAGCTCTTCCTTGCCTGCTTCTCACACTGGAGTTCCCAGCATCAGAAGCAGGCAGAGGCTTTGCTGTGCTGCTCCCTCTGTTTCCGCTGGTACCCCCTCCCCCAACATCCCCTCCCTCAGCTGAGCCATGGGAGTGGTGATTAAAAAGCCAGAAGGGCTGGTGTGTGGACGCTTTCCCTCGTCCCATTTTCCACCCCACAGGCTTCCCCTGACTGTCCATATGACCCAGAGCAGAGCAGGCTGAGGCAGACTGTTTTGCTGTAGTGGCAACGCTTGGGAGCCTTACCACCACAGTGAAATGCCCCTGCCACAGTCATGAACCCTGTTATGTTTTGGGGTTTGCAGCATGCTATAATTTTCTTGTGTTTTATTGTACTGATGTGGCATGTGTGGTCTAATTTGAAAACCTGTGTTATTGTATATCCATTTATGCTGCTGTCATCACTCTATGGAATATGTTATACTGCTTCCATATATCTTTATAGTTTTGGATATGGTTTAGCTAGGGAACTCAGGGAGAGGGTAAAACTGTTAATTATCCCTCGCCGTTGTGTTCTAGGTCCAGAAGAACTGCTACTCACAACAGAAGATACAAGGGGCCCCTGGTAGGATGGGCACTCCTGTGCACTGTCTGCCAAAGATGGGGCAATCAACTCTATGATAGCAAAGGCATCTAGGAGTAATGGCCTTTCTGCCAGAGGGGCTCTAGGTGTCTCACAGTAGCCAGAAACTTCAGAAGGGTTCTGGTGACTCATGGGTGATTAGAATAATGCTGATGAAAGGGGTTGCCAAATTTTTGGGCAGAGTGCCAAAAAAAGCCCTGCAACCTCAATTTGTAACATGTTGGTGTGCCAGAGGCAGATGGAGGGGGAGTTGTGAGGGGCCCGATCCTTGTGGCAGTGCAGTCTTGGCTCCTTCCGGTGTATCCTGAGGCGTGTGTGCACTTGCTGTCAGCAACAAGCTGGGCCATGGCTCCACAGACCCCGGCGCAGCTGCTTGCAGCCTCCCTACTGCCTGGTACGAACAACCCAGGCTCCATGGCTGGTTACAGGGGCTTGCCCAGAACCCAGGCCAGCTGTGATGTGCTGAGCAAAATGGCTTCCTGTGCCACACTGGCACACATGCCAGTTGCTGACCCCTGCCTTAGAGGTTTTTTAGGGTCTGGTCACACTGGAATATTTGTTTCAGGCTTTGAGGTTCAGCTGGCCCCAGTTACAAGGACTGGCAGAATCAGCAGGAAGGCCAATTTCTAGAACTCTGGCAAGAACTCTCATGGGAAGCTAGGGGTAGCCAGGTTAGAGTGTAAGAATCTGTACTTATTTTATTTTCTGACTCCAAACTGGGAGACCAGATTATGCAGGTCTGTTTTGTTTGCATAATTCCTTCATCCTATGTAAATAATGAACATCTTGGAATACGGTGTCCAACAAACACCACAACCTTTAGTAGAAAGCTGCAATCTTTACAAATGCCCAGACAGGGTAGACGGAATCCACACAACGTCCAATATGACAGTGGCTCATAGACTAGGAAGCTGATATCTGATGCCACATGAAAGAAGAATCCTTTTGCTGCTTGACTCCATACTGACTGCCAGTGAAAACAGTGATTTCTGGGCAAGTAATATTTCAGGCTGACTCTCTCTATGTGGGGGAGGACTTAGGACTTCTTCCATAACCCTAATGTGGCATCCACTCAAGGCTGACAGAGATCTCACACCTCAGCTGCAAAATCTGGCATATAACGCCAGAGGAACTGGGGCTTGCTGACATAAGGAGCTATCTTAGGACAACCTCCGTCTGTTACTTGGAGCAGGTGGCAGTACAGAAGGGAGAAACTTGTGCCTTCACTAGTGCCCCACAGTCAAGTTTGTGACAGTTGCCTTGTACTGCCCTGGATAGCCCCAAAGCAGCATGGGACAAGGTAAGCTGCTGTGCCCCTGAAGCAAGGCTCCCAGAGGTTGAGTGCTCCTCTGGGTCAAGGAGAGAAGCTGTTCTCCTGCAAGGGAGAACCAAGAGGATTGCCACCACGGAAAAATGGTTCCTGACCATCAGCTGACTGGTGGGATGTGGAGGCATTCTCCCAGGGCAGGAAACCTTCCTGGGGCTGTTTGTGGAAAGGAAGAGGACAGAATGTTAATTAGTGGGCTCCCCTAAGGGCAGGCATAGGTGCCCAGGGAGCAGCCCTCTAGTGCCCCCTGGCTGGACAGCTTGTCTGTGAATCTCTCTAGCCATGAGGCTGGAGGAATGTTTGTACAGTCCAACTCGGGCTATTTTTCTAATGGAAGACATTTTTTTCTGGTTGAAACAAATGTTTGTACACAGCCTTAGTCTTCTGTCTGTTTTAGACACCAATGCAACTATGCAATGCCAATGCAATACTGATGTCAATTACAACAGTGTTAAATGTGTCATGTGTCCGGACATGAAGATCTACTTCCACTATTTCCAGTTTGGAAGCAGCAAATGAAACAGGCATAACATATCTCACTGGCATCCTTCCTGAAGCTGTAATTGAGTGGTACAGACACACCCTAAGACTTCTCTCCTTCAGCCTATGGAAAAGTCAATAGTAGATTCTGCAGGGCTTTTTTTAAATTCACTTCATACATTTTTTCATTTCACTCCAGGAAAAACAGATATTTAAAATGTCAATTATGAAAAAAAGACAAATTACCAGTTCTGAAGGAGTTCCATTTCCCAGCTCTGATTCATAGGAACTACCAAAATAAAGACGATACATGTTGGATCTTCCTGAGTCTTCAGGAAGCAACTCGGACATCTCCAAGGAAATGAGAGAATGCTCTAGCCCTCCTTCTCCCTCCCCTGTTGAATCTTCTGAACCACTGCTGTGGTTTAAGAAAACCATAGAAGAGAGACTGAAGTCACTGTCAGAACTGGAACCAAAATCCTGGGACAAAACAAAAAACATAATTAGAGGCTTTAATTAATTCATAACTACCAGTAATGTGAAGTTTAATTTAAAAATTGCCATTCAACAAAAAATTTAATTGGGGCAGTCTGGTCAGTTGCCAATTTTATCCATATGTCTTCCATTACAAGTACATTTCTAAATGTTTTGCAGAGAAAATTCTACAAATTTGGACTGAACTTTCTTCTTTTGTGGTAGAACAGTAATAACTTTTTTATTTGCTTGTGTTATATCCTAAAAATGGTAAGAGATGTTTAAAAAACCAATGTGGATTGTACATCTGTATCCTTTCTGGCTGGTGAAGGACAGCTGAAAAGTTCTTGGACCATCATTAGTAGGAATTCTCCAGTTTTCTAGCAAGGAGAAAATCCTACTGCTAACTTAGAAAGGGGCTTTGGGTATGCCATTTCTTTGAGAGATCACGTGGTTTGGACAGTTTGGAAATATACTTCTGGATTAAGGCTAAACAGAAGGTTGTGTTGAGTTTATGCTGATGGTATCCTTCACCCTTGAGTTCATTGTGATCATTTCTTTCACCCTGGTGGTTAGAGCTAGATATGGCACAAACTACACTTTAATTTTGTCCATAAGCTCCTCCTAATGATGGATGATTATCAAATGTCTGGACTGATATCATTAGCCATGTATTAACAAAGACATTTTGAGTTCTTATAAAGGCTCAGGGCAGCTTACAATAACAGAACAGAACAACATACAAAACAGAAGAATGAACAAGAGAAAAAAAAAACTTCAAAGGCAACTTTTATCAACATACAACTGAAATCCCCTACAC